GAGATACGTCTATAAATACAAATCTCCATAACCAGGAAAGGGGTTCAGGGACCTTTCCTTGCAATGTTTACAGGCTGAGATCATTAACCAGAAAGACAGAATATTCTGCTGTAAGACCTCCTATCTGAACTGCTCAGAGATCTGTTCTGGTTCCCTTGTGGTAAACTGTAGGTCTTCTAAGGCTGAAAGGGTCTGTCTTGGGCAGGAAGGTATTGGCATAAGCCCTTCTTGGGACCTTTCCAGCAAGGATGTAGGAGCCCATGCTGTTCCATCTGTCTCTGTGGCCATGGTCCCCAGCCCTCCCTCCCCTCCAGGCTCACCCACCAGCTGCCCCTGTCCCCCGAGGAGGCTTTCTCCTAAGGACTGTTGGGACCTCAATGAAGACAGTCCAGAGTTCAGCCTATAGCTCTGGGCAAAAGGCATGATGAGTGTCCACAGAAGTGTGGACAAGGAAGAACACAGTCTGTTGTTCTCAGAACCCAGAAATCTGGTATCTCCACTTCTATGTTGGCCATTCACTTCTCTTCACATTTCCTTGTTGTTAGTACCAAGAGCACGGACATAGAAAATCATTTCCTTCACCTGAGCGTGCATCTGCTAGAAAGCAAGGGTTTGCATCTATCAGACCCTAAGACTGCACTGCAGAGGTAGCCGTTTACAGCTGGTCCTTTGGCTTCATGGTTACTCCTTTCTTGGATTAAAGGCACTATTAAAAACCTTCCATCTGGGGCAACATGTTTAATCTTTCATGAGAATAAATCTTCAGTGCTTCTGTGGAGTTCTGTCGCAGAGCTTTCCACGGAGACCTGGAAGGTGCACGACTGCTCTGTATTGTGGTTGGTGAGCACCCATCCACCCTGGGGCTAATAATGCCTGTAGGTGGTTGAACTGCGGCAGAGGCTGCTGGTTGCCAGTCAATAACTATTGTTCCTCTCTTTATTACTAATAGAACTTTGATTTTATTCAGACCCATGATAGTGCCCCCCCAAAAAAGAACCACATTTCCCAGCCTCCCTTGCAGCTGGCTTGACCACGTGACTGAGTTCCAGCAAATGGAATATAAGCAGAAGGGCATAAGATGCCCTGGAAGTCTCTCTAAAGGAAAGCTAACTTATTTGGAAGGGGCATTTTTCCTCCTGTCAGATACCTGGAAAGTGTTAAGATGGCTGTCACCCTACTAGCCATCTTGGACCATAAAGTTATCTTGAGGATGGAAGCCGCCACAAGAGAGAAGGAGGCTGGAACAGAAAGATACAAGGAGTTGGCTCCCCAGTTGCCATGGTGTTGATGTTGCAGGATTTCTTTTCCTCTGGTGCCCATGGTTCTTGGTCACACCTCTTCGAAGAATGAAGAGGTAGACCAGACAAAGAGTAGTGGGCAGCAAAGGAAAGTTTATTGAGCAACAGTACAAAGCTCCCAGAGAGGGAGGGGGCCCAATAGGGTTACCACAGGGTTCTTAAGTCTAGCGGGTTTGATGGGCTTGTTGGTGGGCTGTTTTAATCTGATTAACCCTCCATGAGCCTGTCACCCAATCAGGTTTTTGTAATCTACCTATCATGTGGGAAAGAAAAGGGTGGAGGGCTCCTTCCAGGGTGATGTAAAATCCTTTCAAGGGTGGTTTCCTTTTAGGGCATGAGTCAGGCAGGGGTGGGGCCTGTCCCTGCCTGCCTTTCTTCCAACTATCCTTCATTACTGACCCGCTAGCCCTGGACTGCCTGCCTCTTGACTCCTTAGAAGTGTGAGAGAAATCAGCTTCCATCTCATTTAGGCCACTGTTGTTTCTAATTGTCTGATGTAAGCCGCTGAATCTGCTCTTAACAAATGCATTTAGGATTGTAAGCTGTGACCTTTGGATTTCCTAGTTGGAGGATCATTGTCTCATCCTCCTGGGAGGCAGCAAGCTAAGCTGAACAGCATGGATTTTAGGTTTGAATCCCTGCTCTACTGCTAGCCACATGCTGCTTTTTATCTCCTCTTCTCTGTACCCGTTTGTCTTTCGAAAAGTGATATGCATTAAATTAGTGCATACAACATACCTGTCACATCATAGGGACCCAACAATGTTAGTTTCCTTGTCTTCCCCTCATCCCCGTGTTGAGCATTTTATTTTAAATACTCAAAAGAAACAGGTAATGCACGTTTGAGTTTATTTCTCCATAAGGCGACTCTGCCATCGTAAGTGGAGAAACACCAGTAGGGTTAGGCTAGGTAAAAACCACCACAGTGATGGCAGCGGGAGTGCAGGACAGAGGGAGGTTGCCAAAAGAAGAAGCCAGTGGAGTCTCCATGTGATCTGGCACAAACCTCCTCTCACTCAGAGCGAAGCTAGACTCTCTGGCTGAAAACAAACCGGAGGCCCGTTGGACCTGGGAGGGCTGATGCTCCCAGTTTTCCATGGCGCTGTTGTCCCCCGAAGTCTGAGCACCAGGGTGACTGACAGCATTTCCAGCCTGTGGAACACAAGCTGACCACCTGGGGAAAGATGTGTGTGGGGTAGAAGCAGAAAGGCCGACTTAGCTGGCGAGGCACAAACATCTCCAAACCTAAGTGCATCTAAAAGGACCCCGAGCAGGCAAGTTGTGAGAAACGCACTCTCTATGGACACTGTGGATGAATGCTTTTGGGCTGCCAGCCAGGCTCATAAACACCCAGTGCCCTGCTCTAACATAAGAAAAATAGGCTTGGGAGAATTCAATATTGTCGGGCTCTTGGCTGGTTCCGAAGTATGGCAAGGGGGAGAGAAGTAAGAGAAGTTACTGGAATGAGGAAATGGACCACCCTCGTGAGAGAAATAATGGCAGGGCTCCCTACCCCCATGATGACCCGGTCCTCAGGCCTGTACAGCTGTGGTTTTCACATCATTCTACTCTTGGACCCTTCTGGTGGGGCAAAGACCCCACGGACTTCCGATTTTGCCAAAAAAAAAAAAATATATATATATATATATAATCTTAGAGTTGGAAGAGATCAGTTAATTTAGTTCAGTTCCACTTCTCCACTTGCAAAGTGTTCCAGAGAGAGCAGGGGAGGTGGCCAGAGTCACAGCTAGTTAATGCAGAGCCAGGCCCGGGACGGATCCCCCGATCCCTAGGTTGTGTGTTTCATCTTATAGCATTAATTTGGTCAAGGCACTTCTTTTTCAGGTTTATTTTCTTATGCGGATTCAATTACCAACCAACTGGGAATAGCTGTTACCTTAAAACCATTGGAACATGATCTGAAATTTCAGACTGCTGAGAGGGCCTTGGAACCCCTCAAGCGTGGAGACCCACACACGTGGGGCCAAGGAAGGAATGAGGGCAAGTCTACAGAAGCAAGTGAGGGAGAGAACGAGCTTAAGCTGGAAAGAAGGACCAAATCATTTTTGAAAACTCAGAAACAACAGCTTCTAGGTTTCCTGGGCTACTAGAAACAAATCGAGAGCATGACAGAGTGCTAAATTTGCATCTGCTTCCAGAACTAGGACTAGAAACAAGGAGGTGAATCCCTGTAAGAGGACTAAGGCCTGGATTTGCAAACCTACAAGCTCGACGACAAGCATTTTCCCTGTACCCTGTAAGGTACAGGTCTACCTCCATTTTCCATTCATTGAACATCCACAATGTGGGCTTTTCTAGATGTTTGGTTCTTATATTCGAGGAGTAGAAGAGGCGGATGGGGAAAACAGAAGCCAGGGAAGGGACATGGGCAAGGTCACTTGGCTAAAAATGGAGCCCAAGGTCAAACCTAATCCCCAAATTGACCGTAGGCCTCTTTCCACCCTGTAGTGAGTCTTTGCGGGAGATGTAAAGGGAGCTCGGTCACCCAGGAAATACTCAGTGGAGACCAAGAGGTGCTGGAAGTCCTTGGACCGCCCGTCCCTGTGTTAGGACACCATCTGAGCTGCAGCCAGTGCAGGGACCGGCCCTGAAGGCCCACGGGGCAGCTCGTGCACCCACAGCCAAGGACAACGGACAGAGGTACTTTCATGCAAAATGTTTATTTGGAATACGTGTGCTACTGAGCAGGCCAACCATCCGGAACTAGCGAGTCTTTACATTGTGCAGAGATACAAGAGCTCCCTGAAGACATTCATCTGGGCTTTACTCCTCTTCACCCACCTCCACCTCTCGTCACCTTAAGACCTCTGGTGCTGCCTGATCCGGGGGTGATGAGCTGCGGCTGGAGACTCGCCGCTACCCGTTGTGTCTTTTCCTGGGACCCTCTCTACCTGCCTCCTTCCGTCTTCATGGTGCCCAAAGAAATGATGAGCAGATACAGAGTTTCTGTGGGGTTACAGGGCCTTGTATTCACCACATTTGGTAAGTTTTTTTGTTTTGTTTTGTTGCTGTTGTTGTTCTTCGAGATGCTTCTGCTTAGCTTTCCTGACAGGCCTGAGTGTGAGGGCTCAAATTTCAGCTGACCCAAGTGGAGAGTAATTCATTGATTTTTATAATCTGTAGGTTACTGCTTTTCTCCCTGGCTGGGACATATGGTTTTCATTTCTAATTTCTGCCATATGCTTCTCAACTTGAACTTGCTTTTGTCTCTCTCTTGCTCCGTGACAGTGAGTGTCACACATGTCAGCCCTGCCACGGGGTGAGGGTGGGGGATGAAGGAGAGAGGTCTCGCCTCTCTGGCTTGGCTACAAGCCCCAGCAGACCTGGCTTCTGTACGGAGAAGGGAATGAATCACCTTATGGAGAGCGATCCCCCTCACCCCACCGCCCCCCAATCAAGGCAATGGGACCAACGGCTGGATAGTCTGGACTTGCCTTTGGGTTCAAGTTTCAGTCACTGCACAGAGGCCATAGAACAAGGACCTCCCTGTCTTCTGTAATAAACACAACTGTGACAGGGGCTCTCAAAAGTCAAAGCCAGGAATCTGCAGGCACTCTGCCCGCCTCTCCGCACTGCTGATGAACCCAAGGACTGTTTCGATAGGCAGCTGGCTAGACCATATTGACCTTTTGAAGAGGCCTCAATCTGGACTGTAGTCTTAAACCGCCCCCCCCTTTTTTAAAATAAAGTGTGAAGGCTGGGGACCTATTCTCTCTTTAACCTTATTTTACCATCCCCCTCCTTCTTCGCTTGGTGGGTCCCAGGGTGGACCAACCCACTCTCCTGGAAAAGGACCTCCCACCATGCAGACTCTTAAAGGTCACTTGGAATCTGTCTCTCAAATCCTGTCCTGAGTAGCAACTCTCCTCCCACAAACAGATGTACAGAATCTGCAGTTACAAACAAAAGAAAAAGCAAATGCGCAAATCCCCCAGGCCTGGGAGCGCTGCAGCCGGAGACTCATCCCACCCCGAGAGCACAGACAGATCTGGCAGAACAAGGCTCGGACACAGCAGTAACTGCTCACGAGAGCTCAGGAAACTGGGAGGGTTTCTCTGAGCCTGGCTCTTTAGGGAGCGGGAACCCGGCTGTACTGGTCACTTTCCAAGAGCTGCTAACCTGACACTTAATTGTGTCCTACTTCATCATTTTAAACAAAATAAAACAGAGCAAAACAGCCAAGACACACAAACACAGTCTTTGGCACGGGGTGTGTGTGGGGGGGCAGTCACAGATGAAATGGTGGCTTCATCATATTTTCCATCAGTCCTTTCTGCTCCGAGCTGGGAAGGAGTCGTGTCAACAGTGGGGCGGCTGCGCCCTTCCTCCTCAGAAGCCCGAAGCCAAGCCACTACCAGAGTCCGTCATCCTGCTGCTGCAAAACGCGGTCAGGGGCTAGTTCCAGAGTCATCTGAGTTCACACATTTGAACTTGCATTAACCACAACACTTCAACCAACAGTCAAACAGAAGAGAAAAAGTTCGACTTAGAAATTGCACATGGATCGAAACCTTCACCTACAATTCTAGTAAGGAAACCAGGATCTCAGCAGATACATTTTCAGGGACTTTTAAAGAATTCCATGTGACAAGCGACACGGAAAAGCATTCTGCAAATGCGCGCAGGAGCTGTGTGCCTTGGGCAGGCAGTTTTCTGCAGCTTGCAGAAACACAAGGTTGAAAAGGATATAATGAAGGTACTTGGTTTTCGGTAATTTTGAAACTTTCTTCAAAGCAAGGCAATTACAGCTCTATTACCAACATGTTTTCCCTTCTTTTGTAAATCAAAAAGTACAAATACATTTCATGTGCAATTCCTCATGTAGAGTCCAAATGGCCAAATGTAGAACTTTTAATTTTATAAGCCCCAAATTATGAAACACCAACAGTTAAGCATACATACGAGAAAAACAATGGCAAACACAAAATATGAGAACTTTTTTTTCCGGCCACAAATAATAATGGATAGTTATATATGCATGAGAAGTGGTAATAATAAAAGAATAATTAGCATTAAGTTCGAAACTTCTGGGAAGCTATTTTGGATTAGAGAATGTATTATTTACCTCAGAATGTGCAAGCTTAAAAGTCGAATTGTCAAAGTTATCCCCCCAACACACACCAAAAGATTTATATACAGGCTGGAATCCAGAAATTAAGGTTCAAAGTATAAATACTGATAATTTCAACTAAATTCAGAATGGTTTCAGAAAGATGGTACAATTTAGAATAGAAACTGAAAGAGTATCCTATTTTGCTTTGTGATATACATAGGTTACCCTGTTTTTTTCTCTTCAGGATCCTTTTCTTTCTCTTGAAGAATAAGCTAAAATTGAGTTATTTTGATTAAAAGAAGTTTTTAGATGGGATCAACAAATTGAAGAGGAAGTCAGAACAAAGATCATAGATACGTACAATTGAAGGAGAGAAGCAGACCCCACAAAGATCTCCAGGTAGCCACCCTCATTTGGTTCTAGTAGATGACTTGAGTGATTCACCAACTGTAACAGACTAACTGACCTCTTCCCCATTAAACGATTCCTGGGAAAAAGTTTCTAACCATTCCAAATGCTGAGACTTGGCCCATCTCGTTTGCTGGGAAAGCAAGAGCCTACTACAGCTTTTCACAAGAGCCAAATCTGGAAAGAAGTAAGAGTAAGAACCAAGAGTGCAGATAAGTGTATTTGAAACGATTGTTCAGAATTACTTAGATTCTGTGTTGTTTATTATAGTCCAAAGACATGAAGTTCTTAGGAAATAAAGTCATATGGTACAGATAAAAACGGGCCAGTCAGAGTTGTTTGCGGGCCAAATTGCAGACCACCCAATGGTTCACATTTTAGGAATTTGAAACGTCTAAAAATAGATAAGGTGGTTTCTCAAAGAAAAAGAGAGGGAGAAACAGAGGGAAGGAAGGAAAGAGACAAGAAACCATTCAGGAAGTGTTAGCTAACAAGATACCTTACTTCAAAAGAAGGGGTAAACGCCTAAAAATGCATAAAATTTGTGCAGGCTACTGCAATAGTAAACACAGTTGAATACATAGGCCTCGTAGTACTTTTGTATTGGCATATATATATATAATGTCTCCGGCACTTTTAAAAATATGCAGAGACTAATAATTAAGGATCATTCTAGATAAAAATACAATATTTTGTAAAGGGGCAGGGGGTTGGAAATTCTGGTCTCAGGGGAGATCTCCACAGACAGATCGAGATGAAGCTATGTTTTTTAGTAATTCTAATGGATATGGCAGCAAAAATAGTTGTAAGGATGTTGGCTGGTTTTGAGCAGGTTATTTTCAAATATCACTTACAGCTACATTTGCAAAAGCATCTTTGTGAAAAGTTCATTTTATTAACCCTGTAAAATGTCTATATGGACATGTCTTTCTAAGATAAAAGAAAAGGAGCTGAGTTGTGAAGGGGTAAGGGATGTGTGCTTTAAAACAAACGTGAACCCTTTCTGGGTTCCTCTCACACAAAGGGATACAGACTCTTAAATAAAATAATACTTCCTTAAAAATCTGCCACCTCACAATTGTTTACATCATAGAAAAATAGCATTTTTTGTAAAAAGAAATATAGTTACTTTGTTAAAATGGTCTATTTTAAACCAGCAATTATTTTTCATATAAAGAATTTCTAAACATCCATACAGAACACAAAAATAGATAATACTGAGGGCAAAGCAGACAATGGCGTGTTTGCGAATGATCAAAGTATTTCATCGCCAGATAAATAATACTCTGAGTACATTATGGTACAAGTTTTAATCTTTTAGGAACTTAAAAAGATATTGCTTTTATTCTCTGATGGCAAGTTACTTATAAATAGAGTTACTTGCAGCAGCAGAAGGCCAAATTGATTAGAAACGGGTCATATATATTCATCCCATTTCCCCTAAACTCAAAGTGCTGGAACACCGGGCAGTTGGCCCAAGTCCCAAACTCCTTAACACGAGCATGGACCACAGGCTGTGGAGATGCAGAGGGGAATTTATGACATTTGCAGTCCTTTCAAAATCATTCACGTTCGAATTTTCACATAGAACCAGATTAACACCAAACTATTTACCAGCTTGGCTAAATCCATCATTACGGAGAGTTTATGTGACTCCTTTCTAAATAGAGGTATTAACTCTTCATATTATGAAAACAGATGGTTTCAATGGACTACTGCTTTATTTCCACAAAGTGATTCTGTAGGGACGAGGAGTTCCTTGGTGGCAGTGGGAGAGGCTGTGACGGGATCTACAAGCCAGCAGGCTCCGGCCTACACGCGGGAGAGCCGGGAGGGCAGGCCAGACAAGACGACCCCTGGTGAGTAAACTCTAGAGATCTCGGGCTTCACTGGCATCTCCTCACACCCTCTCCACTCTGCTAGGGTCATAGGAATCTGTGAAAAAGCAAAAAAAAAGCAAAACAAAAAAATTAGTGGTATATTCAATTAATGTGTTTTCTGTTTAATCCTGAGACCATAAATAAGTATGTTGAGGGAACAAAAACTCCCCAAGTGTCGTGAATGCTTAGACATTTAAACAATATTGATTTCACTGAGTAAGAAACTATCATCAAAAGACTGTTTTTAAAAGGACATGTATGATCATTACCTAATCACAGATGGAAACATGTGAGTTGCTTAATTTTTTAAAAAAAGATTTTATTTATTCATTTGAGACAGAGATACAGACAGAGAAAGACCATGAGCAGGGGGAGAGGCAGAGGGAGAGGGAGAAGCAGACTCCCCAATGAGCCAGGAGCCCGACGCTGGGCTCGACGTGAGGCTCGATCCCAGGACCTGGAGATCACGACCCAAGCCGAAGGCAGATGCTCAACCATCTGAGCCACCCAGGCACCCCGTGAGTTGCTTAATTTCTGATAGTTCTTTCCTGTGGTCCACAGTGGAACAGGAGGGCATCGGTAACACTAAATGCAACACTGGTAAACCGGCAGCGCTATGTCTGGCTGATACTAAGGATTTCTTTTTTTTTTCTTTCTTTTTTTCTTTTCTTTCTCTTTTCTTTCTTTTCTTTCTCTCTTTCTTCCTTTTTTTGTAAATTACAACTCTAATGAAATCTTGCTTTAAAAAACAAATACATCTTGGGGCGCCTGGGTGGCTCAGTTGGTTGAGCGACTGCCTTCAGCTCAGGTCATGATCCTGGAGTCCTTGGATCGAGCCCCACATCAGGCTCCCTGCTCAGCAGGGGGTCTGCTTCTCCCACTGACCCTCCTCCCTGTCATACTCTTTCTCTATCATTCTCTCTCTCAATAAATAAATAAAAATCTTTTAAAAAAATTTCATATAAATGGAAAAAAAATGCATCTTTGTGGGGCACCCAGGTGGCTCAGTTGGTTAAGCGTCTGCCTTTGGCTCAGGTCGTGATTCTGGAGACCCAGGATCAAGCCCCACATCGGGCTCCCTGATCTCCTCTCCTCTGACCACTCACGTTCTTTCTCTCTCACTCTCTCTCTCAAATAAGTAAGTAAAATCTTAAAAAAAAAAAAAATGCATCTCTGTGATCAAATGCTGTCCCTGAAAGGCTTGAGGACCCTGAAATCCTGACCACTTGGCTGGCAATGAGAGGCCTCCTGTCCTTGACTGTCACCAGCCAGCAGACAGGGCCCGGGATGGACACATGATTGGTAGCACCCTCTTCTAGGCCTTCCCACGCACCCGGGTGTACGGGCCTGGGCCACCGCGCTGACCCATTCCACAGCCCACACTGGAAAGTCCCAACCTGGGCCCAAGTGGAGCAGTGGGGTTTCCAAAATGTGACACCATACACAAGGACAATGGTCCAGGGCTACCATGAGGGCTACAGCTGGGTGATGCTGAATCTGACCCCCTGGGGACTCACAGATCTCTGGGACCCTGTCAACCCCAAACTCACTTGTGTGCCTCCTCTAGTCAGAATTTCCTGCCACAGCAGCTCAAAGGTGTCCTAACTGTTTAAGAAAAAACACTTATGAAATCTGGAAGGATTGGTAGAATTTGACAGCTATAAACACTATTGCAAAACAATCTCTGCTCAAATCTGTCTGGACCGCTGTACATGACGAAGGCCATATAGATCCCAATTTCTCTAGCAGCCGAATGTTCTCCCACGCCTCCCGCCACCGTCTCAACTCAGCCCCGATTGGGTTATGATCCCTACTACAACCGTGACTTTGACCGTGCTTAGAGCGCGGAGTCAGACGTTAGAAACCAGATAGGACACAGCGCCCGCGTGTAGGAAAAGCAGCCTGCTCCGCCCCCAACGTGATTTGCTGCACCAAGCGCCCACGTGGCTAAAAGCAAGTGGGGCTCAGGCGGGTCTGCTGCCTTCTGATCTTTTACACTTGGCCACACCCAGTGTGATGACACAGGCTACCGACAGCCGAGCGTGGCATTTCTGTGCTCAGTCAGCCTCCCGGGTGCGGAATCCGAGGGGGCCCTCCTCTGAGCAAAAACACCTTTTTCTCCACTGGAAATGGGGTGGGCAGTCACTAACGGATGATGCGGTGGGAGGGGCACATTTTCAGCTGCTGAGAGGCCAGGAAGAGCTTGAGCATCTATTGAGCCTCAAGGTACATACCGTGGGCACTGAGCAGCTCACCTCGGGCCGGGCAGAGGGAGACACCCCCACAGAACAGGCCTGCACCCCAGAGCCCCGCTGCGGAAGCTAACGGCCCAGAGCCAGGGAGCCGGGGAAAGAACTCTGGAGGACAACGGGCTCCTTCTGCGGATCGTGGAGGGTGTAGGTCCAATAAAAATATAATGTATGCCACATAACGTTATTTTAAATTTTTCTAGAAGCTGTGTTAAAGCAAATAAAAGGGAATAGGTGAAGTTAATTTTAATAATATATCTTATTTCGTCAAATATATCCAATTATCATTTCGACAGGGAATCAATATAAAAATTGAGAAACTTAAAAGAAACTTCGGACTAAGTCTTTGAACCCTGGTGTGTATTTTACACTCGCAGCACCTCTGAGTTTGGATGAACCCCATTTCAAATGCTCAAGGACCCACATGAAACCAGGAGCTATCATCCCGGCTGACGCAGGTCTAGGGGACGGAATACTGAGTCATGAGAATCCTCGTTCCAGTGGGCAATATTTCAGCTGGAGACCACTCACTAAGTCCTACCCTTGCGGGTATTTTGTGCATTAACATGCTTGAGAGCTACTGACCTCGAAGCTGTGCTGATATCCAGCCTTCCCCCGAGTGCCATTGCTTGGCACCTCACACCATCCCAGGACGCACCCCCTGGCCTGAAGCAGTCTCTCCGGGTTCTCTCCCTGCGCCCACATGGACAGGGTCTGCCACGGAGGCTACGGAACCAGCAGGCTCTGAACACTACCAGTGCCTGGATTATGCTTCCAAACTGGAACATGATCCATCCAGCACACATGGAATTTTGTCACCTGAGTTAGTTGTGAGGTACTGCCTTCTTAGCCAGAGGCCCAAAAGACCACTAAAAAGATGTCAGCTGAAAGGACCACCTTTAAGTTGCAATAAAGGTACTTATGGTACAACGGGTACTGCAACACCACACAGATCATGAAGCTCTAGAAGGGCGTGTGTGCGTGTGTACGCTGGGCAGGGGGACGTCACAGGTATCTGTGACATAAACTTATTTTAAAATTCCAGAACAAAGTCTGAATCTAAGTGGGCTGTGAATTTGGGAGCGGCAAAGTGGCTCCTGCCCACCGGGATGACGGGAACAGGGGTGGGGATGGAGATGATGATTCGTGTGTGTAACATGATAAAATATATCAAGAGGAAAACAAAATCCAAGAGTTTATCAGCAAAAAAAGCAACAAGGCTTTATTCTAACTTGTGAAGCAACAACGAGGGGAAAAGGTAACATATCTAAAAGTATGATCTGCATTCCTCTCAGAATGATCTGGGACAGGCCTGGTGACTGTCACATAAGGGGCTGATGGGAGGTTCACCTGAGCCCTTGCGCGTGTACGAAATCGTCCCTAATGGCATCCTGCTATGCAATTAAGAGTGTCAGAGGGAGCCATGTGGCATCACGAGGAGCTCTCTGCCTTTAGATTTGGGGTCATCTTATTATGTACTAATAAATGCATCAGATGGAGAGAAAAAAAATTCTACTGTCAGTAACTATAGTTTTGTTTTGTTTTTTTTTAAAAAAAAAAAGGTTATGAAGAGCTGTTTCTAATGGCTGGCTGACATTAAAATTGGCATTATCTACATGTTTTCAGATACCTGTCCAACCCTATCCAAATGCCAAATGATCAAGCTAACAAGTGAGGGAGTGCTTTACTGAACTAGAAGTTTTGTGTTATAAAATCCTCCCGAAATATGTGGGCCGTGGACTGAGACACAGAAATCTTGACAAACTGGTGTTTTAATATAACAGGATTTGTCTCATTTTAAAATCCTTACAGTTCTTGGGATGAGACAGGACAGAAGAAGAAACTCATTTTAGCTCACACTTAAAAGCAAGTGGGCATATTGTGGGTGGGGAGAGGGAGGGACCAGGAGAGGAATTAGGCTAAAGCCTAGTAAGTCCCAATAGCTCAAAAAATGGGCCATGGAACACTTTTTTCCGCCATTATGGCAAGAGTTGCACACCCTAGTGTTCTCTTTCTTGGCAAAGACCACATTTGTCGAGTCAGATGATCCAAGAGGGCCCTGACTAATGGGTTATTTCAATCATGTATTTTGTATAAGCAACTGAGCAACACTTGGCTAACACTCCCAAGAATCATAGTGCATTTGTGGGAAAATGTAAAAAGTGCCATGGGGATGTTTTGTGGAACAAGAATTCTGGACTTTTCCAGCTGAAATAAGGAATCTTGGCCATTGACTTTTAAATTCTTGGATTTCCAAGTAGGAAAGAGAGAAGGTGGGGGTAAGGGCACCACCCCACAGTAAGACCAGAGGGCGTGGCTCAGGAGGGGGGCCCGGGGCCCCGGGTCAGGGAGGTCACACACACGAGGGCACAGTTTCCCCTTACTGTTAAAAGGTCCGAATGAACGATTCAAGGTCCCTTCCTGTCTGCGGTTTACGATCGGGCCTTTTGACATGTCCCTCCACTCTTCTTTCTCATTAGTTCTAGAATGTGTCATTGCTAATTCCCCAGCCCCTGAAGAAAATGCTGGAAACAGAGTTGCCTATTTGTGACAGAGCTGAGAGGTGAGAAATCCCTGTTGCTGCCACCAGGAACCCACCTCCTGGTTTGACCTGGAGCAGCTCTGAAGGCATTAAGGTGACAGTAGGGAGAGGCCTGCAGGCCTGTGCGGTCCTGCTGCCAAAACCCTCTGTCCTGGGCTTTAGCACTCAGACCTCAGGGGGCCTTCTGGGACAGAGCTGATGGGTGAACCTTTTATAAAGGGGTAGGGTGTTGAGAAAGTGCAAACTGTTCCTTTTATCTCCTAAACTTTTTTCAAGCTTCATAAAAGGTGTGATAGCAAAAACAGATAAAATGGGGGACAAAGGATCTTGGAAGGTGCAGTGTGAGACACAACATCATGGGCTAGGCAGTTTATATCATTATCTGGGTACATTTTTCTTATCAGAGTTAATAAAGAGCATGTGGGTGGTCTGCGTGAATGCTTGTTTTGGGAGAGAGTGCAGACTACCCATGTTATGGCCTCCTGCAAGGTTCATCAAGGTGTTGCACCAAAGCTGGAATACTTTACTGATTTACCTCTTCACGGTGTAAGGGACCCAAAACTTGTTTATACAGATAACTGTATATAATTGTTTGCATAGGTAATTTCCATAAAGATATAATCCTTCACAATACACCACAGGATCTTGATTTTTAAGCAAAGCTTCTGGATAACTCTTTGTGGTAAAAGGAAGAATCTTTTGGAACAATAATTCACAATCTCAACTTCACCAACGCAGGATTTTCATCATCCACCAACCTGGTGTTTTCTCTACTCTGAGAACGCCCGCCTGCTCGCCCGACTCCTCACCTGGGCACCAGAAATCCTGCTGGACGTTCTTCTTGTCCCTCTGTGCCGACGGATGGCCATCTTCTTCCAGCGAGGGGGCGCCCCTGGAGACAGAGGGCGGGTGCCCGGCCTTCCGCAACAGCTCCCCAGCATTCAGAGACACCGGGCCTCCAGGCAGCACCCCGGGGCCCCTCTCGGCCTTCAGTTCCTCAGCCTCCTCCATGGAGTCAGTGCTCCGGGAGCTCAGGAGCCTCATCCGAGACACAGAACTCACCTCTTTCATCCTCATCAAGCGGTCAGGGTCTGCTCTCCTCGGGGGGGAGGCCAGTTTCTCTTGTAAACTTTCGATCACTTTGGAAGTGCTTCTGAGCCTCTTTTCTGAGCCTGACACACTTGGGGTCCTCTCTATAAAATGGAACAGAGTGGACCTGAAGGGTGGTTTTGTCCCCAGGTCCTTGTGATTGAAGGCCTGGGACTCCTGGGGGCTGGGCTGAGGCTCGGGGCTCGGGGCCTTGCTGGGGACAGTGCTGTCCACACTTGAGTGCTCAGCAGCCAGGGGAGCCCGACGGGCACTGTCCCTCTCCCCAACAAAGAGAGGGCTTTCGGTCCAGCCGCACTTTCTCCTGCCATAAAAGGCGTCTGTGGACACGGGGGGGTCATCCGGCTCGGCTGAGCTGGACACAGACTCCTCCCTGGGGGCCTCTGGCCCGCGGGCACTTCCATCAGTCCCGGGGTGCTGGTTCTGTCCCGTTCTCCTGGCACCCGGCAGCAGGGACTCCACGGCCACCTCAATACCCAGGATCCTCGCAGCCCTCGCTTGAAGGGACTCATTCGGGGGGATCTCTATTGCACTTGCTTCCCCTAAAGACCCATCTAACTTATCAGTACTCGGCTTCTGTGCGGGCGGCAGCCCCACAGACCTCAAGTCCGGTGCGGAAAGTCCTCGGGGTTTGCTGGCAAGAGAGAGTGGGAGCAGCGGGCTCCTCTCCCCTCCAGCCCCAGCCCGCCAAGGGGGTGCTGTGCTCAGCTCCCCAGAAATGGAAACACCGGGCAGCTCCTGACTTCCCTGGGGCTGCCTCAGTTCAGCTGGATCGGACGAGGGCGCTGGTTTTGTGTCACTTGACCTAGAAGACGTCACTCTGTGCGGCGGACCTGGGCTGATGGCTAGCTTGTTCATTCTGTGCTCCACCTCCTGGTGCCCCTCCTCTGCGACCGGGCTTCCGTGTGCCCACAGCGAGGCTGCACCCCTGCCGCCGCCCGGCCCCACCGTCGCGGGGCCCGGGGACTGAGGCGGGGCGCAGGGCCGCCCAGGCTTCTGCTCCTCGCTCCAGCTCTCAGACTTGCTCTTCACTCTTCCCGGCCGGGCCCCAGGCTCCTCCGGCGCTGGCCTCCTTCGGGGTTCCTCAGCTCTCCAGGCCCGGCTGGCTTCACCGAAGCCCCAGTTCTTGCCTTCGCACAGCCACTCTGTGTCACTGTCCTCACTGCGACTGTCACTGCCACTCTGACCGCTTTCTTCCTCCTCCTGAATCTCCTTGTTAAAACTTTCTAGCTGGCTGATCAAGTCCCAGGGGCGCCGGCTAACGGGCTTCAGGAGAAACTGCCCGAACAGCTGCTTACTGTTGCAGGGGCCGGTGGTCTCCCCCTTCACCACCTCGCCCCGGGGCACGGGGCTGGCGCTGCGGCCATGGCCATCTGCACCGGCCTGACTGGGCCCTGCTTTTGGGGCAGGTGCCTGGTGTATGCAGGACGTAGTCCTTGAGAAAGCACTGTTGCTGGAGGGGCTGAGGGACATTTGACCTTTGAGGGGAGGCGCCTTTGGCCTCTGGTTCTGGTCATTGGAAGCTAACGCCATGGGTGCGTGAGCTTCGGAGGCCAGGGGGTCTGAAAGTCTGGGAGTCAGTACGGCTTTTGGGGACCCTCCTGGCTTCTCAGCAGCGAGGGGCCGTGGGCTTTTGGAGTCCTCGGTGAAGGTGGTTTGCGTTTGCTGATCTCTGTACTGGTGCCCTGGCCACGAGCCAGAATACTCGAGCTCTCTGTGTTTTGTAGGGTGAATGAATCTGAGGTCATTTGTTTGTTTGCCTTCTTCTGGTTCCCCCAGATCTTGTTTCTGGAACTCTGTTCTCCCAACCATGCTTCCTGTGAGAGCTTGCAGCTCCAGGTCGGTGGAAGACGTGCTCAGCAGACTTTGTTCTTGCAAAGCCGGGCTCTTATCAAGCCCATTCTTTTTACCAGTGCTCTGTTTTAAGTCATTGTTGTTCCTATCTATATCTGGCAGATGTGATTCGGATTTAACTGGGATGGAAACCAAACAAAATATCGTCTCGTTCATTTTTTTCTTTGAACTTTTCTTGGTTGGAATCCCAGTTTCAAACTTCTTGAGCTTGGTTCGAGTTTCCCAGGTACTCTCGCCCTGCGGGCTGGGGGAGGAGGCTGGGCCTTCTGTGTGTCCCTGCTGACCGCCCCCCATGGCAGGCCACTGTCCTCTCATGGCCCCATGGTCTCGTTGCTCAGGGAAGCCGCCGTTCTCTGCATCCCTGGGGCGCGGGCCCCACGACCACTGGGGACTGGGATCGGTGGTGGTGGAGCCCCTCACACTGCCTGGTGGGGTCACTGCACTCTGCGGGCTCGAGACGGCGCCATCATGTTGACTGTGTCCATGCGCAGGTGCCGGGGTGGCGCCGGGGCTGGGGTTGTAGGGCTGCCCATCAGCCGTTGCTTCCTGACAGAAGCCCTGCAGGTGGGCTAGTTTAAAATGTCGGATCCGTGGGTCATCAAAGGGAATATACAGAACAGAGCTGTCATAAGCGGTGGTAGGCCGGGGCTGCAGGGGGACCCCGCAAGGGGAGTGTGGGCTCGCGCCATACTCGTTCCCGGGCCCCGGGGGGCCAGGAGGAAGCTGACAACCTGGGCCCGGCAGCTCCATTGGATGCTGCTGCTGACGGGAACCGCCACACTCGGGCCTGGGTGCTGCATCCTCCACGTAGGGGTTGGGGATGTGCTGGGGTGGTGACCGGTAGGATGGCGGAGGCACGTACACCGGAGGCTCTAAACCGGAGTCGGACACACACAGCTCTAGCCGGGGCTCGTGAGTTCTGCTCAAGTAGGAGACACACAGGTCTGCCTGCTGACTGTCCGGAGAGTCGCTGTCCTCCACTCCCACCCTGGAGTGCTGGTGAGAGTCACAGGACGGGGGCTTGAGGGGCCGCCCAAACTTGGGCCGGGGTAAAGGGACCGAGGAGCCGCTCTTCTCAGGGTTCCTTGTGGATTCCAGATTTGGTGCACAATTTGGGGGATAAAATGGCATTTTAGGAACACCTGGAAAATGTCCATCATTTAATGGAATGGGGATGTCCATGCAACTCAGGCTCTCAGGGGGAAGAACCCTGGGCAGGGACTGGGATTTCCCTTTGCTTTGGGAATTCAACGCCTGCTCTCCTTGCATGAATGGGTACAGATCTTGAAATAATTTCTCCCCATCACCATCAGACATCTGCCGCCCTAATTTCCTTGGCTGGTTCCAGCTCTCGAGGCTTATATTCTGCCACTTGGCAGGTCCCGCCATTCTCAGCTCTTCTTCCCAAACTGCCTTCTTCATCACATTCTCTGTCCTTCCTCCAACTTCCCATGGACCCTCCCTTGTGTGGATGGGCAGACCTTGTGCTTGGGCCATGCCTCTGACCTCCAGATCGTCTCGGTCCCTTGGCCCCAGCAGGCCACTGACCTCCTGCCCTCTTCTTCTCCAGTAGGCGTGGTTGTGAGCAGTCTGGGGCTGAGAGGACCACCTTAGCACGGGCTGATGATAAAACCTACAAAACAAAGAGGCACAGAGGTTATACCGGGGGAAGAACCACACAGAAGAAACACGTCCTTCTCTGCTTCTGTGACTGGCGTTCCGAGTCAAACTCAGGTCAGTACTTCTGCAAAATATCTTCCTAACCAGAGTACTTATGGACTTTAAAGAGAACATGTCCCACTAATTATGGTCGGAAGGCAACCACGAGTTTTGCCACCAAGGGCCTAGGAGTGGCAGCAACAGGCTGCCCACAAGAACATGAGGAGGTTGGTGGTACTCGAGAGATGTCAAGGCTCTTAGAACTTCGAAGTGCCCGAGGGAACAAGGGTCAACTCGAGAGCAGCATTTCTCAAAGTGTGGTCATGGGCCACTAGAAGTCCACTCCCTGCTGAGTCCTGACGACTGAGCTCTCCAGGAGTTCGTCTGGGAACCTGCTTCTCAGAACTCCACCCCAGGGCCATGGTTCTTAACTTCAGCGTGGGCAGGAAACATGAGAAAGGGTTGCTCAGGCACAGACGGCCGGGTCCCATCCCCAGTTTCTGATTCAGCAGTTTCAGGTGGGACTCCACAAAAGTGTATTTCTAACATGTCGCCAAGCGATGGGGTCCCAGGCACCTCAGTCTGAGAACCATCATGGCAAGTCACTGTGAACCAGGACTGCATGTTAGAATCCAGAGGGACTTCCCAAGTCCCGAGGCCCAGACCTATCCCTGCTCCATCACGTCAGAGTCAGAGAGGCGGGAGGCAGAGCCGGCAGTGGGGTTTCTCCAGGTACCCTGATATTCCCAGTGTGCGGCTGAGACAGAACCAGGGCTTCAACACAGTTCCCGCACTTCCCTGATGACAAGAAGCCCCCAGTGGGCTCGTTAAATACACACATTACCAAGTCTTTCTGGTAAAAGTTCAGATTCGGCAGGTCTGGGTCAGGGTCCAGGTGCCCACATTTGTAGCGAGCACTCCAGGGGAGTCTCATCTTAGGTGATGTGGGAAACACTGCTCGGGCCGACCTGGAAACTCACCAGGAGAAGAGGGGCTCTGTCATGTGCCAGGACCCCTGGGCAGGCAGGAAATGGAAGCACCAAGTGCCAGCCTGGTCCCAGCTTGCTGCCCATCACCTGGCCGCATGTCAGAATTTCCTTGAGAACCCCCCAATCTAGCCAGCAGCACGACACCAGTATATTTCGTCATCCCCTCAAATGATCCTAGCCCGCACCCGGGGTTTGGAGTCACTGTCCTAATGCGCCCGAAGAAGAAATCTGCACAGCACTGTTGCCCTGCGCAGAAAGTCAGAGGCTGCTACAAGCGACCGGAGGCTAGGGGGCTAGCTTCTCCACAGCGTGGAGAAGCCATCAACCCGAAGACAGCGCGGCATGCTCAACTGCTCTCATTAACAGTGTTCCAACTCCAAAACTGCTGTTGGGTTTTGAAATTATAAAAGCAATATGCATTTGTTGTCCAAAATCTGGAAAAATAGAGGGAAGTACAAAAGACAAAACCTGCTTGTCATCTTTCTCACCCAGTGACGGTCATTTTGATACCTATGCTCTAGGCCTGGTGTAGGTGAGGATGCGGACTTTCGAAGAGCCGTGGTCTCCGCGAGGGATCTGGTTTATGTGGACATTTCCCTGCACGCGTAATGCAGCCAGCAGCTGCTACGTCCATGGCCGTTACTACGCGCTCGGCCCACGCCATGGGCCTTCTGTCCGTTAACGCACCTGCGCCCCCGAGACAGGAACTGCTGTCATTCCCTTTGGACCGAGGGGGAAACGGAGGCACAGAAGGTAAGGAACTTAAAACTAACGTGCACTTGGGCACGTATGCAGTCTCAGGCACTGTAGGAAGGATGCCCAATTTCCACTGCTTTCTCTCCCTTTTGCAGACAAGGAAACGGAGGCGCAGCGATGTTTGACATCTCTCCCAAGCTGCACAGCCTGCAAGGAATAGGGACCGCTCCAAACACAGCAAGTGTGACCCTAAATAAAGCCCATTTGGGTAGCCACTCCGTGTCGCGTCTTCCGATGTAACGCAAAATTTCTCAAGTGCGTAGTTTTAAAGGATGGTTAGTATTGTATCATAGGAACAGGATTCCTTTAATCACTGTTAGGCCTCCGTAGAGGACATTCCAACACTCTGGGAAACACTACTGTTCGCAAACACTAAGCAGGTCACAGATTACATAGAATAAATCCTTAGGAAAGGAATTAGTAGATGGGGGGCATTACGTTGTCTCTATTGGCAAATCTGCCCCTAGGCCCACAGTTGCAATTTACTCCCCCCCCCCCCCCCCCCCCCACCTCCCGGGAGCCAATCTTACTGATCCTTTCCCATCTCTGGTTGTTATAATTAAATTGTTTCCTTATTAGATAAGTGGAAATAACTCCTGATTGGTTTCAATTTGCATTTCAATGATTACTAGTGAGGGTAGCTTTTTTTTTGTTTTTTCCATGTGCTCAGGTGTCCTTTGTGGTTTCAAGGGATTTCCACAGCACAGCCCACTTTTCAGCTGACAGGCAGTGGAGTGAGGATGGTGGGAACGGGGCCTGTGGAGACGCTGGTTCTGGGCAACAGCAGGTGAAGGCCTAGGGGCGGGGGCGGCGGGGTGAAGAGCCGCCAGGAACTGGCTGAAGGGGGACCATTCCCAGCGCCCGGGGGAGGCTGCTATGCCGCGAGGCCGGATGGTCAGTAAACAGTAAACATCCATGATCATCATCATCATCCTCATTACAGGCATACCTCGCTTTACTGCGCTTCTCAGATCCGACCGTTTTTACAAACGGAACGTTCAGGACTTCTGTGGAAGAAGTCCCTGCAGATGGGGCGGAAACAGCAAGAGAACCAGAATTAGAAGTGGAGCCTGAAGATGGGACTGAACTGCTGCCGTCCCGTGAGAACACCTGAACGGATGAGGAGTTGCTTTTTATGGACAAGCAAAAAAAGTGGTTTCTTGAGATGGAAACTACTCCTGGTGAAGATGCCGTGAAGATTGTTGAAAGGACAACAAAGGATTTAGAATATTCCACATACTGAACTGATAAAGCAGCAGCAGGGTTTGAGAGGATTTGGTCCAACAGTGAAAGAAGTTCTACTGTGGGTCACACGCTATCAAAGAGCATCGCATCTCACAGAGAAATTGTTCATGGGAGGGAGAGTCGACCAATGTGGCAAACTTCACTTGTTGTCTCATTTTAAGAAATTGCCACAGCCACCCCCACCTTCAGCAGCCACCAACCTCGAAGCAAGATCCTCCTCCAGCAAAAGGAGGATTCGCTGAAAGCTCAGATGGTGGTTAGCATTTTTAGCAATATTTTAATTTTTTAATTTTTTATTTTTTAAGTAATCTCTATGCCCCATGTGGGGCTCAAACTCATGACCCTGAGATCAAAAGCCGCATGCTCTACCAGCGGAGCCAGCCAGGTGCCCCCATTTAGCAATATTTTTTTATTAAGATTTTATTCATTTGTTTGACAGAGAGAAAGAGACAGCGAGAGAGGGAACACAAGCAGGGGGAGTGGGAGAGGGAGAAGGAGGTTTCCCGCGGAGCAGGGAGCCCGATGCGGGGCTCGATCCCAGGACCCTGGGATCCCAACCTGAGCCGAAGGCAGATGCTCAATGAATGAGCCACCCAGGTGCCCCTAGCAATATTTTAAATTAAGGTACGTACTCTGCTTATTTAGACATAACACTATTGCGCACTTAAAAGACTATGGCGTGGTGTGCACCTAAGTTTAATATGTACTGGGAAACCACAAAATTCATAACCGGACCTGCACTCTCCCTGAGGCATGCCATCATCAGTGCAGTAGTCGTGGTATTTTGGAACTACTTCTTTGCCTCAAGTCCTGCTCCCACCCCCGCTCCAGATAACTTTTTAAGCAGCCACTTAAAGCAAAACTGAGTTACTGGTTGACAAAGCAGAAAATACTTAAAATCAGTTTGAGGTAAAGCATTTGCCACTGAGCAATCTAAATGCTTCTGCATTTACCACTTACACAGAGTGGCAGCAGTCTTAACATGGGGCACGGCTGAAGGTCAGCTTCTTTGTTTGCTCTTGCTGTTGCTGAAACTTTGTTCTGAGCATTTAGGATTTGAATGCTTAGCAGAACCCTTCTTGGGGCAGGTTCCATAGGGACTGGGCAGGGTGGAAGCCCTCACCTGCACCCTCCTTGCACAGCCCTGCCCCCACCTGAGTGGCCCAGCAAGTTGCCACCATGCGCTCCAGAGGCCACAGGTCCTTCCCTGAGGAAGTCCTCTCTGACTGCCCGTCCATCACAGATACCCCGAGAAACAGCAGAAGATGAACAGACTGCAGGGTCTTAGACTCTACACACAGTCCAAGGGCAAGACTTGAACCACTGCAACTTAGTAAGAAGTGATAGTTGTCATGGACCCAATTAAGAGAGAGTCAAGAATCTCCTTTCTTGCCTCTGTTCTTCAGCAGATAGTAAGTGGGCTTTATATACCACACAGCTTTAATAAGCATCTTTCTTACTCCTTATAGTCCTGTAAACATTCTCCTGGGGCACCCGACTTTATGAGAAAAACCACATTGTGTGGCTTTTGCTCATTTTCTCAATGGATATTCTGGTTTCTCAGTAAATGTGTGGTGTGCTTAAGTGCCAAGAGGTGGCCAGGATCCCAAGGTGCTATTTGTCTATGGACGTGCCGTGAACATGATCAGAAGACAAATAAAGGATGACACAAATAGGGCAAGAAGAGTCAGACTATAACTACCTACACTAGTAATGTAGTCAGTTTTCTTCCCCACCTAAAAAGGTTACATTGTATCACCTTAACTTTGTCAAAACTGCCCTATCTAACTAACCAAAATGGCTAAGCATTCTAGATGCAACTTTTTTCTATTTGTACAAGACAAGGTCATCTGGGAAATAATAAATAATCTATATAATAGAAAATGCTAAAGAACCTATTTAACAAACATCTGTCCTGTACCCAAGATGGGCCTGACTCAGACAGGTTCAAGTGGACTCCACCTGGTGATAGTTCTGGTCAACT